TTTAATTTCTCATGAAGCGTAAATTGTGTTCCGTTATTTCCCCCACACACCCCAACAAAGCCACATCCTGCTTTCCAATTGGCTTTTCACTACCATCAGGATTTTGCCTTCTTCCCCCCAAAAACAGCTTCAGGCACCTCTCTGCAGCTAAAACCACCAGTATGAGCATCAGCTGTAAGTGGCAATGCTTACTGCAAAAGTTGAGCAGCTACAGCTCCACAAATCCCTGATAAATCATACCCAAACTTAGGAAAAAAATCCTGTGCAAACCCCTCTATTGCAATCTGGGTGAAGGAGGAGGTGAATTGTTTTAAAACCCCAAACTGCAAGAACAAGGTCCAAACAATGAAAATATTTGCCCGGTTGATTTAACAGAGCCACCAAGCAGACAAGAACACTGTGACCAACGCAAGGCTCTGGCCCCGCACACTTCACAGACCCACTGCAACAAGTGAGGCTTGCATTGCCTGTCCACCATCTTTAAGGCTCAGCCTAAAAGAAATTGCTGTATTCATTTGCAAGGATTTATTTCCAAGCGTGCTGCAGATAAAGCAGCAAGTGGTTGAATCCCCTAGTTCAATGTTTCTGCAACAGGCTGAAGGGATGCAGGCACGTACACCTGCAGCCCAGGCTCCAGAAGGATTTATGGAAAAGCCCACATTTAAAATACAAAAAGAGACAATCGAATTCACATCCAGATAGCACTAAGACAGAAGGGTTAATACACTTCTAGCTAGGTGAGAGAATAGGAAAGCAGTTGTAAAGCCATGTGGGAGCCTGCAAGCCACTAGACAGCTAACCCAGTAGCTATGAAATAAGCAGGGCTTGTAGCACACCGGTCTGGAGAGGAAAGAGGTCTCCCCCGCTGCACTCCAAACTCATCCTTTCTGGCACAAATTCCCAGGGAACAGAGCATCAAGCTGGATTTTCCACTTGCAACACGGGAAAGGTAACATCCCTGCTCCTGTGGTGGGGGCTCCCTCTCCGACATCAGGCATGGGTGTCAGGGAAAAGGGACTTCATTTGGGACAGGAATGCAGTACTGACTCCTGCAAAAATACAAGCAGCAGGGCACGGACCTAATGTTTTACTTGTACATATTTATTGTGACTTCAGAACAAGTCTCGGTCTCTAAAAACCATCCTGATCTTCCCCCAGAAATGCAGATCCTAGGTTCAAAAGCATCCAGCTTCAGATAAAGACCCACCTTCGTGTCGGAGCTACTAACATTTGCTGAAAACAGAAGTCTTGCCACCAAAACCTAAGCTGGAAGGATGAGAGGCAGAAGAGAATAAAAAAGCTTTTCATCAGGTACCGCAGGGAAGCAATGAAACACCCAGGAGAAAGGACCCAAGTGTCAGGACTGAGGAGCATTTTAGTGCCTAGGCATATGCACTGATTTGGGCTCAATATTCTATGCAACAGCAGCCAGTATTAATTAAAAATGAGGTAGGCCATACCTTAAACCCCAGATTTCTTCAAGCTATCCTGTTTTATACACATCTGTGCACACAGCCCAACATTTTATGACAATAGTTAATTGATGGAGTTTTATGGGCCATGCTATGTTTTGTTGGCTCAATGTTTAATCCCACACAGCGATCTTTTTAAAACAGATTTATAGTAAAGTGCACGCAATTATGCTCATAGCGAGCTGTACATCCATCATACAGAGCTTAACGGCTCAACAGGATGATGGCAGAGCTGTCACCACATCTGTAATTCCACTCACATTGCCTGCCAGCACCCTGGGGTACCAACTCTTCCCCTCCCCAGATAGGATTTTTGGATCTTTTGGCCCTATGCTAAGGTGGGCAGCAACCTCACAGCAGGTCACCAGAAAAGGTCTCCAGCAGGAGAGAATGTGGACACCACATTCAGCCAGGAGACCAAACTGTGATGACCAGAACATGCACAGAGACTAACAGATATCACAAAGCAGCTCTTCATCTTCTTTCAAGTCACCTTAGGGGTTTTTCCTACCGGAGATTGAGCAAGTGTATTTTATGCAGCAAGTGCATCTGACACTAGGGAGCAAATCAACATAGGCAGCACTGGAGAGCCCTCTTTGCAGAAGACGGCCCATGGTCAGTCCCTCTCTGGCCAAGCAGCAGCTGCCCAAGCCCCGGCAAGTGTTGCAATGGGTTGCACAACACAAGAGGGCAATATCGAGCCCTCTGGTACAAGGATGCCTTTCAGCTCAAAGGTTTCACCCAGCTTGGACAAAGCAAGAAAGTGAGATGGGGATGGAAAGATGTCATTCCCACACTTGCTTTTCCACTGTGTTTAAAGAGCATCAGAGGTTCTTGTAGGATCCTGGTGTGCTAGTTCCCCTGGGGGTTGGAAGTGAGGTGTTTGGGGGCAGATCTTGCACTGCCTGGACAAAACCTGCTTTCCCCCCCACTTTCTTTTCAGCTTGTCTTGCTGGAGACAAGCACTGCAAGTGCTCAGCTCCACAGTTTTGTTTCAGGAACGCAAAGCCTGAATATAAAACAAAACACCCAGTGAGCAGCAGGAAAAAAAAATGAAAAGTGTCCCCTTGCAGAGTTGAACAAGGAGCAGTACACTCCCAGACATACCTCGGCCACAGCATAGTTAAACTTCATTTCTGGAAGGAGTTTAGAAAGCCTGTGAAGAGGGTATTTTTTTCAGCAGTTCAGGCTACTTCGTTAGAAGAGCTTAAGGGGCTCATCTCAGCCACTTTCAACCACCTAAAAGTCAGCTTTCCAGGACGATCAGCTATGCCCTCTGCATCCAGAGACTGATTTAGTATGTATAAAATCAACCCTGGAAGATGCTTCAGCAAAACCACCTCTGAGAAAGAGCTGACAGCCTAGATAGGATTCCTCAACTCAAACACATGGAGTCTATGCCTGATGCTCACAGAGAAGAACCTGGATTTTGGCTACCTGGACTTCTTTGATGCTGTCACGGGGAAAAAAAAATCTCACTTCACACCTGCCCTTACTGAAAGTCTGGACTTTAGTTCTACCTAAAGTCCATTTTTAAAACCTCCATCCTTGCATTTGGAAAGAGGACTCCAGCCTAAGAGAAGTCCATTTCTCCTTAAAAATCCTAAACATCTCAGCTGAAGAAAAAGGATACAACTAATACCACTGTCACAAACATCAGTGCTTGAGGGAAATAAGGAAGCCTTTTTTGTCCTATTTTGAATGGAAGGGAAAACACTTATAAAAAGCCCAGGAGGACACACAAGGAAAGTCAGCTTCTTCAGACACAGAAGAATCCACAGCACTTGCATTCCTCATCCCCGAACAATGCACCCCACGGCATTAAGCCCAGACTTGTCATAGCAGAGTACAGTTCCCCTTAAATCTTTCAATTAAGATGGCATTTGTAAAATTGCAGGCTTGAAAATTGCTAGATATAATTCTGAAGTTAAAGTCACCACTCCGATTCAAAAAGCGGACTTCAAGATAGTCAAGCAGCGATCTGGGCCATGCCTATTCCGCATCATCATTTCCAATAATTGCTCACTATAGATCAATTGGGATTTGCTTGTAATCTAAAAATAACTTTGAGCAAATTTAAAGAACTGTCTGATACCGTGATGCCAATCATAATCCAGAGCCCTCACATTTAATCTCCAAAATAGTCAGTGCCCACACAGGCAGGCTCCAGGCTGCCTCCAGCTGCCGGGACAAAACCCAGGTTGCTGCCATGTCCTAGAGCTGCATTTTTCTAGGCACACAGCATAGAAGCCAGGTTTTGCTAGCCCTCCTCCTTCACCGTTTAGCATATGCATTACAGAGGATGTTAAAATGGCGTGCTAGAGGCAAAAGCAACCTCTGGAGCAATCTAGGCGTTTTATTCCTCGACAGCAAGCATTTTAGGATCCTCACAATTTGTGTTAACTAGGCTGTTTGGAAGTCCCCTCCACCTTGCTCTCCATGTTGGGCAAAGTTTCTAAAGGATGTGTACTCCCTGCGAAGCCAAAGAGCACAGTTTTGGGCAGACATGTCCACCTGCAACACGGCTGCACAGCCACTTCTCCGTTCTCACCCATCTCTCCCGAGGAGCAGCACAGCACCGGTGCCAGCAGAACCAGCCTGATCCAAAGTCCCTCCACCGATCTGTGGAGCGGTCTTCTGCCACTTGCTTTTCAAGCAGCTCTCCTCTGCCCCCTCCCAAAACACTTGGGCCAGCCCTCAAAGCTGACGCCGCAGCTCCCCAAGGGTGGAAGCCCCAGGGGTGCGTTTTGCTGGTAGGTTAACCCCCAGCACCACACGCACCACCGCCAGCAAATGCGATCCTCCTCCCCTGCATGAAGCTGCCTTGTAGCAGGCACAGATCCCACTAAAGCATATTTAGGGGACCTTGACACTTGGGCCCTCACCTGGAGCAGGTAGTTTGTATTTATAAACAGAGCATGACACACAACAGCACTTCCCTGTACTGTAGGCATAGCCACGGGGGCCTGACTTCCATCAGAGGTGTCCAACAGGCTGGGTTTCTCCTCATTTTTGCTATCTGCCTCAACATAGCAGGTATAGGGGTTTCTCACCTCCAGCAAGGAGGATTAAACCCAAAAGGCACATGTCCAACCCCAAAAGTCCCTTCACACTTTCTTCCTTTACCAGCTGCTGTGGAGAGCAGCGACTGACCCAGGCAATCCACGGCTCTGACTCACCTGCAGCATTTCAATTCAAACATGATCAAAAAACTCCAAAAAAACCTTGGGAAGCCCCAGAGCCACATCTGAGTTATCTACATGCACCAAAAATCCCGATTTCTCACTAGAAACAGCTCTCATCCAGTGACCACAGCAGCAAAAGCTACAGCAAGGCCCCAGGCCCCAAACTTGAGGCCTTGCTTTAAAAAAAACAGTAAGGAAAAAGGAGTCAGGATGCTTCATACAGATGGCTGAAGACCTGCTCAGCAGCCAGACTTCTATTGAGTTTTCCAAAACAAACAAACAAATCACTCTAAAGTTTCTCAGCGAGGAACGACCGCGTCTCGTTTTGGGGGGCAGCACTCACCGGTGGCGTTCGGCGGCACCTCCAGGTTGACATTGACGAAGAAACGGATGCTGTCCCCCGAGACGATGGAGGAATTCACTGCATCGAAGAGCTCCTCGCCTCCCGTCTCCTCCTTGGCCTCGCAGCCGTCGTCCGTGTCGCACTTGAGGTACCCTGCCAACGACACGGGGAGGGCGGTTAGCGGGGCTGAGCCGGGGCCCAGCGCCGGCGGGGTGC